AGTCGTCGTCGTCGCAGTCGTAGTCGTAGTAGAAGAAGAAGAGGTAGAGGTAGAGGTGCTAGTAGCAGCACAAGTAGCAGCAGTAGCAGTAGCAGTAGCAGTAGCAGTAGCAGTAGCAGTAGCAGCCGTCGTGTTCGTGGTGGTCGCGGTTGTGGTGCTGCTGGTGATGGTAGTGGTACACGTGGCAGGGAAGTTGTAGGCAATGGCGGCAGCGGCGGAATTCGTGTTGGTAGGGATGATAGCAGCAAGCCTTCTAGGTAGCAGCAGTCACAATGGGCAGCAGCGGTCAAGGTCGTCAGTTCGGGCTGCGGGAATGTTGGCATGATGAACGCATTGATCGACAAGGCCTGTGGCAAATCTTGCAGATGATCAATTGCAGATAACACCATTCCATTTCTGATGATGCGGTCAGCCACTGCAAACGGATACCTGTGGAGCAAGGGTACTCGCAAACTGGCATGGCAGGATGCTCATTGGTGGGTTCAGCCTGTTTGAGCTTCATGTCTTCTCGTAGCTTATGACGAGTCTCGTACCAATGACACCAGTCTTGCTATCCTAATTTTGCGCGGAAATTCATGATGGCAGTCTGCCATGGTTGCGGCTCAGCTTTTCCTGCCGATGCTTTTCGCGGATGCCGGCACGAAAGTCCCTCCCAGCAGGACTCTTAGACGAGCCTGCGCCAACCCCATTGAGTCAAGAACGCCTGAGTGCGGAAGAACCAGGGTTGAAGTCCGGAATGCCCCGTCAGAAAGCTCGAAAGACAACAGAGCATTCGAGAACCAGGAGGAGCAAACACCTCGAAAGGGACTAGAGCATTCGAGAAATTGGAGCAAACCGCTCGAAAAGGACTAAAGGATTCGAGAGTCAGGGAGCAACTGCTTGAAAGGGAATAGAGCATTCGAGACACAGGAGCAAAGCACTCGAACGGTACAGAGAATTTGAGAATCAGGGAGCAGGAGCCAACTGCTCGTGAAGGAAAAACATATGAAGCACTAGCGTATTTGAAAAACAGGGAGCTCGCAAACGGCTCGAAAGGGAATAGAGCGTTCGAGAAACAGGAGCAAACCGCTCGAAAGGGATAAAGATATGGGCCACTAGAGCCTTTGAGGAACAAGCCGCTCGACAGCGACAGAGTATTTGAGAGTCAGGGAGCAAGCCGAACGAAAGGGAATAGAGCATTAGAGAAAGAGTAGCAAACCGCTCGAAACCAGAGTATTTCAGAATCAAGAACCGCCCGCTGCTCCTCCCAACTCTGGCCCCTACTGTTCTTGACTTCTGCTCACTCTCCGTTCGTGACTTGCTCCTGCTTGTTCTCGACTAGTGCGGCTGACTCGCCTCCCATCCCATCATGCTGTGCAGGTTAAAACAGCGGAGGCAGAAGCATCGAATCCAGACGACAAGGTGTCGGGCCGTTACACGAATGTGCAGGGCCTGCAGCTGAAATTGCTGGTGGGTGAGCGGCAGCATTGCTTCCATCAATTGCATATTATATTTTGCAACAGGCATGGACAAAGTGCCGACTGCTGCCAGGCCATGATCGAATCTGCCATGCTTGCAGATGGCACTACCTCAGAGGAGACGGCTTCTGCTCTGTACTTGGCTGTTTGGCACCTTCTTCCTGTGGATGATGAAGAGAGTTCTTTGGAGGCTTTCGGCGCTGGGCTCTGCTTTTCGAACATGCGGAGTTGTGTGGTTTGAACATGTTCCCAGCATACAACAGACACAAGGGGAGGAGTGGAACCGAGCTTGAGTGTTAGAACTAGCCAAAAGAGGAGCTGGATGGAGTGCTTCAGATGCTGGCCTCAAACGGCAGGGCGGCGGCGCACCATCGGAAGCTGGGCTGATGAGAGAGGGAGGCAGAGACTGCTGGTCGTGAAAGTCGAAGGAAGAAGAGATTGCTACTCTGTCATGTCCTGAAGAAGAGCGATGGGGGCCTGAAGCGGCAAGCACGGGCTTCAGGGTTGAGTTGAAGGTCAAGGTGCGAGTCCGCAGGGTTGAGGCTTCTCATTCGGGTTCAGGCAGGGCCAGGAGGTTGGGTTAACCGTGTAAAGACGCTTGCAGCGATGCACCCAGTGCTGTCAAGGCAAGGTCGTTAGTTGTCTGACAAAGGGGAGCCCGTCCATCGAAAATGCTGAAGGGGCGCGCACCGCGCGGGATGGCACTGCCTGGGAAGGAAAGCAACAGACTAAGAATGAGAATGCCTGACAATGGATTGGGTTGGCCTGCGCGCATGGATTTGGGTTCATCGAAGTGCATTGCCTATCGTCCCCACGCCCACTGAAAAATCAACAGCGAACGAACGAACGAACAAACCGAAAGAACGACAAAGCGAAAGACAGACAGACAGACAGACA